GAATTAACAATGTTCTTTGAATTTAAGCAATATTATTCTGACCACGACATTTAATTTTTCACGTGATAAAAATACCACCATATACCTGATGACCAGAACTCATTCCATTTTCATAGTTCAATCAGCGTGCTTAGAAAAATACGTAATTTTTTAAGTATTAAGTATGAAATAACGCAATTGTTGCAAAAGTTCTAAATTCAAGCCAGGTAATTATTTTAAACTATTAAATATAATATGACGTTTGTTTTTATAGGTTCATCCTGCAGATTCAAATTTTAAAATATTTTAAAGAAATGAGCTTTTTTTATTGGATTGCGTAACATTTTTTTTCAAAATTTTATTATAAGTCAAATATGTGTTCTTTGGAGACCTATAAAAATTTAATAAATAAAAAGTCATATTTTATATGTAGGCTACACTAAAAAATTTTGTTTACGTTAAAGACAGTCAATTTTTAGGCGAGAAAACTTGATACCCCCAAAAACTAAGAAGAGAAACTATAAATCAATGGTTTAGAATTTAAATGTGTATGATAAAATATTTCATGCATATTTTTAAGCAAAGAAATATGGTTTGAGTAAATAAGGTAGTAATTTTGTAGATTAAATTTTTAACAACATCCAGAGGGTCAAAACGAACCGAAATGCATTTTGTTGCATCAAAAAATCTAATAAATACACTCGGCATGTTATACATGGAACAAAACGGTAACTTTTGTAGGTAACGTGAGCTTTTGTATGTACTGAGCTTTTGGAAATCCACCTTTATAATTGAAGGTCAGACGGGGAATTTGGCTGTCTTTGACGGCAGACTGCCAGCACTTCAAACGTATTCGACAAAACAACTGTCTTTGAACAAAACAACACATATTTCCTTTTAATGCTACATGTAATTTTAACACTTCCCAATGGTTACATAACATAAAAACTAAATTTGTATGGGTCGGATATAAGTACACTATTTACAAGTTAATACATGCCTTTATACCCAGTAAAATATATTTTTGACGCAACAATTTATAAGTCTTGTGATTTTTCGTAAAGAAATAAGACGCAAGTTTCCAATAGGAATAAAACTTGTGAAATCAAAAGGTATTCTATAAGTATCAAGGTGCAGTTAAACAGTATACTTTGAACAATATGCATATTTTATAGTATGTGTTTTTTTTTATAAAACACACCGCAAATTACAAGTATATAAAACAATAATATACTACAAGTAGAATAATTCGTTTTACGTCAAGAAAGGTTTGAATTAAGTTTCAAGTTGAAATTCCAGTACCCAATAAATCAACTATAAATCATTAAAATGTAAATCTAAATGATAAGATACAGTTTTCCATCAACTTTATAGACTTTTAATTAGTACATAATGTCCCTTAGTCAATTTCAACCCTCTCCCTCCTAACAATAACATTTGGCATTAGGATTTGTTTTTAAGTATCCTGATTCTGTTAACATGTGCTACGTTTGAAAGACAACTATATTGAGTCTTATAAACAGTAAACATGGAAAAGCATGATCAGGTAACAATGCAATAACAAAACAATTAAAATCAGCTGATTAATAATACAGGGAAAGATAAGATCCCTGCTGAATTATACGGCTTGTTTTGTAACTTACCGGTACCATTGAGTTTCTATACTTGTAGTTTGGGTTGCGTTTTAGAAAAGGACCAAATTACGTGGCGTACACCAATGTAAAACCCCCAAAAATGTTAATAACATAAATACTACAACTGTCGCACCGTTATAATTGATAACAATAATAACTTTTAACACCATTTATTAAAGCACTTTGCTTGTTATGTAGAGAGTGCTAAACTGACATTTCGAAATATATTGTAGCAATAAAGTAGCCACAGTATCGCCAATATTGTAACAATGAAATTACTATTGAAATGGACGATATTGTGTGGTTGAGGGAAACCAAATAATACAGGAAAATACAATACTACAACGCTTTAGTGGCCAATATTGTCATAAAGCATGTTGACGATAAAGAATTTTAAATATTGTATTGGCATATTTTACAACCTGTTAAAACCTAATATTACCAATTATGTCGTATAGCGTTGTTTTGAAAGATTTTGTGATTAATATAAGCAGATAAATGATAAAAAATACTTGGAAAACAGACACGGAAAAGTTTATTTTTGTAACAATTTAATAGCATATGAAAATTCGTATCAACACTTTGAAGAATATAAATGATCGAAGGTACCCGGCTAGTCTGAAGAATTAATTTTGTTAATTTTATTTTGATGGTTCTTACAGATTCTTAAATTACAATATTTTATTCATGTATGAAGGTCAAAAATGGGAATATCCCATTTTTAAACTATACCCTACTAATATTATAAATGAGAAAGTTTGGATGTATGGATGTATGTATGTTTGTGACAAGTAAACGCGAAAAATACTGGTCGGATTGGGCTGAAATTTGGTATGATGATAGCTCACATTCCCGATTAACATATAGACGCATTCTTATCTCAAAAGTCCTTTCGGGCTCCGCCCCAGTGGCTCTGGAGTTTCCCATGTTAACCTTATAAGTAATCATATTTAAAAGGAATAAAATAATTTTGTCAGCTGTTTCAACTATCCAAGTTGGTTCTATGATATTGAATAGCATTAAAAAGTTACGAGGTTTACCAACAGGGTGCAGTACTATTGTTTTTTAAATTTATGACAACATCTATTATATCCTGTAAAGGCCATAAAGGTTAAATTTTGTTTTAAAAGTTATCAACAGATGTAAAGATCAAAATGTTTCTATTTCGTGTTCTTTTCCCGTTGCAAAGCACGGGTACAACAGCTAGTAACCCTCATAAAACCCAGTTCCCGTAGTCCAATCACACTGGATTACGAACAGATTAGAAAAATAAACAGCTAAACAAGTTTGTACAAAATTTCATCAAAATCAAATATTATCTACTCGAGTCATCGAAAATGGATTTGAACGGAATTGTGCTATTGGCCTGTAGGTCCAAAAAGAAAATATAGATTGGTCCAAGACCCCACTACGATCGGTTCCGGGTCTATGTCTTACCATAGCTGATTCCCTTTATGGAAAACCCGCTTAATTATTTGGACTGGGTAGCGCATGTTAACAAAGTTACACTTTGCCATTAAATTTGGCTCAACTCTGACCGCACCTTTGGGATATTTTAAGCCCTTAAAACTCGGACAACTTCTCCTCATAATATATAGATTTTATTATAGCAACGGTTAAAATTACTAAAAAGATAAATTAATAATGCCTCCGATTTGATGAATTACTAAAATAATTAAATAATAAATGCACTATACAATACTCCTATTCTTTTTTATTTTAAAAGGTTAAGTAGGTCGTCACGGAACTTTTAAAAGAGCAGAGATCTTTCACTGGAAAGATGAACGTGTCTGTAGGAAGTAAGGCTTCAGGAAAAGTCAGAATCGTTTTGTGATATTGGATTTTATATGTGTCTTTGAGAGCACAATAGGAAATTTCCAGGATATTTGAACCCTCTTTTGACCTTTACGAATCATTTAAATTTATCACTTTCAGGAAAACTTGAAATTTATAAGCAGTGCCTACTGCGTAATCTAAGAACATAACTTAGTTTTAAGGTCTAAATTTTTCACAAACCATATACTTGATAGCATTTTTTGAAAATTTTATCGGTAGAACTAAGTAAATGTAGATCAAGATCAGATTGAGAAAAAAGGTTAAATCATGGATTTACGGTTTTAATAAAATTTTATGGTTTAGACTTTTCAACCGTAGTAGGCCTAGTAGGATAAATTAGAATTATATTACTTACTTAATATGTGGTTGTGTTGTACATATGTGTACACTACACACAAAAACCTCAAAACCCCCAAAGATTATTTAAATCCTAAGCTGAGTTTTGCTAATATTCCAAACGATTTCTTAACGCAAACAATATTCCGTAAAAATCTGATTTAGTGATTCAATATTTAAAACAAAATTGATTCCTGGAGATTTTTAAATATTTTATACTTTTTCTTCGTAAATTTTTCCCGCATTTAATCAAAGCCTGAATACCGCCATAAGGCAGGTTTAGAGGCGGAGAAGTCTAGCCATTTTGTCGCTCACTAACTCACTTAGGGCCTCTTTGTCGCCAAACGATGTTCTCGCGAAATTGGGTTGGAGCCTGTTAATTACCGAGTATGTGCTTTTAACGGCCAAAGCGCTCTTAACAGCCTACATCGATCCAATTTGGATGTTACTTCACCATTTAGATGTAACATTGCCCCTTGCAGCTTGCGTGCAACCAAACTATTTGATGCAACCTAAGAACTTAAACCTAACCTTAAGGTTTGGACGTTAACTTATTTCGATTATGCTGGCTATTTAAACGTGATCGTTACACTTAATCTGATAAAGGAATAAAGTTTAAGTGTTTTTGATGATACACAATTTAACTAATATAATATCGAATAAACTAATATAATATATTAGTATTGTTACGTGATTATCGTTAAGTCGATTATAGAAAAAAATCTTTTTTATATCAATACTGAAAGGTCTCACAGATGTCAAGCACGTATTGTAGGCCGGATCAGTTACAAATTTAGGTATTTATTTAGATATATATATATAAAAAAAAACTAAATTTAGGTGTTAAATTTCCATACTTAAGCATCATGCTTATACGGTCTCCTCAAACAAAACATTACGGCAATTATTAAACATTAAAAAATTATGAATAAAATTTTCTTTTTCGTTAATACATTAAAACAAAACTTCTTTCAAATACTATTTTGAAATTCTTTTAAATCTACTTGATCAGTTCATACTCTAAAAAAGAGTTTCTCTAGTAAAAAAAACATCTTTTAATTTGAATAAGTTTACTTTAGGTACGAGCAGAAAATTATATTATGTTGGGAACCTACTAAATTGCCCATCCAAACGATTAGTGAAATGCAAAATAAATAAAAAATAAAAACCTCTTAAAAATGGATATTTCCAAAAACGTCTTAAGCATAAACATACCTTCTTGTTGGATTTGAAGACGTTGCATTTGAACACGTTGGTAGCGCCATCTCTCGCAATGTAGCTGAAGATTTTGAGATCTTGTGAGTCGTGGGATACGTAAAATATCCTGCAACAAAACATATAACATTGAATTTATGAATTAATCTAATGGCAATCCTGCTTTAGAATAACATAGGTAAATTATGACTTTAGTTCTTATTTGGTATGTCCCACCTTCACATCCTAGGACGTGAAGCCCGGAACTGTTTTGCACATTACTTTAGGCTAGTCCTAATGTTGAGTTTCGACATTATCAAATGCATAAATCCATTGGTGATTGGCAGGATTTGAACCCTGGACCTCAGGGTCCGAGCTCTATCACTAGACCAGCTGCCTTCCCCTATAGGGAGCGATAATTAGGGTTATCGTAAGGTAGGTACATCTGTTTAAAGCCTTAAATGTAAATACTAAAATCAGTAAAATTGAGTTTTTTCATCGGCACTTTTGAGTTTTAAGTATTTAGAAAGAAAAAAAATCTGGCAAGTATTTTATTTTCGAAGGTATTACAGGACTTTCAAAAACTTAATATTTAAAGAATAAACCCCGTTAGAGAATGCCACTTCTTAAAACACAATATACAACAAAAATTTAACTTTCAAGCAATAACTTTTTTAAACGAGGAAAACTTATAAAAAAATGTAACGTTCAGAAAAAAGTGAAACACATATTATAATCAAAGGTGAAAACTGTACATACATTTTGTGAAATGTTTTTAATAAAGAAATCAAACTTTACCATGCCCTTTTACAATAATAAGTAATAAAAAGTGTAATACACCAATTAAAATAGTAAACTGCTAAACAAAAGTTAAAATTTTTATCAACAGCAAATCACGCACATAAAAGGTTAGAAAACCTTAACTGAAATTATATTTAAGTAAAATATAAACTCATAAACGTAATCAGAATGCAGATAGGATGTCTTAAAGTACATGTAAAAACATTACCACGACAAATTAACTACTTTTAAAAACAAAAATAAATTTTTGAAAAATATTTTGGTGATTAACACATAGAAAAGATTGCTAAACAAAATAAAAACGTAAAACTAATAATCACACATGAGAAAAGCACTGAACGGACCATGATTGCCTGCATTGCAGATTGTAAGAGGCAAGAGTCTTCGGAGCAAAAGGAATCGCCTTTCAGTGTATCGCATTAATAATTCATATCCCAGATGTGGCCTTTCGTGTGTTAATGCATCGCTGGGAATCAGCCGTTCTTTGTGATCAAATTGCGATTCAAAAGTTTAATACTTACGCATTTTCCAAAAATATTTACTAATTTTTAATCACAAAAAAAGTTTTAAGGTCACCAAAAATCAAATAAATAAAGAGTACTGCATTACAAGCTGTGCTTGGGTATATGAAATAAGTATGATTTTTTATTATTATGGAGGATATGGAAGTTGATAGGGTTTCTTTATTTATATATAGGTTTGATGTATGTTTTGGAAATTGATTTTCTTAATATGTATTCTATATCTTAGAATGTATTCTGTTAAAATGTACCAGATCAATAGGAAGCTTAACAAAGTCAACAGGATTTATAACATTTGGTAATTTACAATTCATAACCAATTTTGTTTTCATTTGTCGGGTGTTTTAAACATTTATTATGTTTACAATTCACCAAAGAAAACGGCCATAATCTTGGATTTCAAATTTATCTAACATCTAACTGTTACTAAAGGGGTATGGGTACGAAATTGACACAGTTTGGGATCGAATTAGCATTCTTCATATTTGAAGGCAAGTCCTTTAATGTGTATTCCAGAAATTAAACCTATGTTAAATATAGTACTATAACTTTCCCAAGAAGCATACTGTTACAAGAGAAATAAATATACCCCCGCCGCAGCAAACCTGCAGACTAAGCGAATTTCCATTTGCCTGATTGGATTTACACTAAAATGTCTCCTTAAAAATATCACATTTATTCCCTATTTAAATCAAATCAGTTTAACACATACTTAGGTTTGCTGCAACAGGGAGGGTAAAACTGTTTTTTTTTGTAAAATGTTAATAGTTAGTAAGAAATAAAAACATTTTCCAAATTTGATCAAAATATGTTCATAAACAAGCAAACTACAACAGTTTACTTATTCTCCATAAGAATAACATGGGAATTTTAAATTTACAATTTTTTGGAATTTTCTCCGTAACCATTAGGCGCATAATAACGCTTAAATATACTAAATTATTTGTTTTTTTAAGCTCTACAAAATGGTTTGGAAAGAAATTGCTAAATTTTATGTTTTTTGGGTCAAAAATGGGAAAAACCCATTTTTACCCCATAAAAGCCCCCATAAACCCCCGTTCCCATGGTCCGATCATGCTGGTTCGCGAACTCGTTCGAATAAACGTAGGTTTACACGTTTGTACCAAATTTCATTAAAATTGGATAATTTTTGCTCGAGTTATCGCGCTAACGGACACATATATAAATATATATATATATATATATATATATGAATTTGAACGGATGCTATTTTTGGCCTCTAGGGACCTCAAAACGAAAAAAAAATCGGTCCCGGGTCCAGGTCTTACCATGAGTACTACGGTAATAGCTTATTCCCTATATGGGAAATTCGCTAAAAGGCCATACAATATTTGTTGATACAATCAGTACCAAAAAAGAGATTCTAATTTTTATTTCTTACCGTTTATCATTTTAATTTTTTCCCCATTTGGTCCTATTTAAATCCGGCTCGAAGGACCAAAGAAAAGTAAACTCAATAAGTGACGCTTAAAACAGCTCCTAGGATGATAAAGATGTGTCTACCAATTACGCATCCAAGTTAATTTTTGTTCAGGAATATTTCAGAAGAAAATTACATAGGCCCCTTCCCAATATTGGCTTAGTGAATTCATCGTTTCTCATATCAACTAAGGTCATAATTCGATTTCCATTTTTCACCTTAATCTTTTTACGAACGTAGTATGTACCATTCCAGCTATCTACCCTAGTCATTTATTCTCCGAGGACTGGTAGGGAGGGACATGGAACCCATTAGTCTGCACATTGGTCTAATTGGTGCTCCACTGCTACAGTAATTGCTGCTGTCCCTTGCGCATATGTTAACGAATCAGAGATTACCTACACTGGCCGTTAATCTGCTGCATAGCATAGACTCCCTTGTACAATTTTTTTACGCAACCCTAATTATTAGTAGCGTCACCGCAATCCTACTTCTACTTCGATACCGATTAGATTATACATATTTACTTATTAGTTGACAGCTCAGTGTTGTTGGGAATTTAGTGTAAATAACATTTAACATATTTTTTTCATCCAAACGCAACCAATGTTTAAGATTGGTAATGCACATATAAAGAAAAAGTAAGGAAGTGTAATTTGGGTATAAAAAAACACCCCGTTTTATACATAAAAGAATTCCACGAGGAACTAAATCCGTTGTATGCAAGCTATTTACTATTATTTTTCACTATTAACTAACTATAATCTTTACAAAATAATTTTATTTAATCCCAGTAATTAATCTATTTATTGGAGTCACTCGATTTATACGTACTTTTCAAGGTTCTTTAAACATTTTTATAGCAAATTTGTAAGAGACCTGCCTAAATTTAAAAAGTAAAATCAATCACTCCGGTCGGTCAAATTTTAAGGGATTTCTCTGTTTTAATACGCACACGTAGAATATATAGGTATAAACACATTCCAACAATAAATCCGACACCACTTTATTGTGCAAAAATCCCAATTGTGCAAAATAAGAGCCTCTATTTGATTTACAAATTTACCAAATAGACTTAATGTTAGGTTATTATCAAGTAATTAACAGAAAGCTTACTAAGCCGTAGTAATACTCAGCTTACAGTTCTCTTCTAAGGCTTTGCGTGCTCTACAGTCTACACTGTTGGCAATACAAGTCATGTTTGTTGGAAATATTTGCTGATTGAAATGGAACTTCGTTATTAAAAATATAGTTAGTTAGAAAAGTATCACGACCGTTTAGTGTATTTTTAATTGTCATACACCATAAATAAATTGGTATACTTTTGACACTCACAAAAATCTTTTTTTAGGAACTTTACATTTTCTTCCTTCACCCCTATACATAGTGTATGAAGAAAGTATTGTTTTGGTCAAAACTAGCTAAAGACTAAACTTATGATCTGATTTTGATGATACTTGTTAAGAGGGTCCAAGGTATCTCCTGGTAATAACATGTATTTTTATTAGTGATTTTCCAATAAATACCCATAAACCGATGGTAAATTAGGATTTTCTCACAAATTACCCACACGATTTGTATTTACAGTATTACAATTTAGTAAGTTATATCCCCTTAAATTCTTAACAAAACGGTAAAGACCAAAGTTATGTAAAAATAACAGTTTAAATTTTAAGGCAACTTTTGAAATTTTACCAATAAAATGCCACAGTTACTCCCACCGCTTGTTTATGATAAGGATTAATTACACGCTAGTTGAGAAAGTATGTGTAAGATTGCTGATACAGTTTATTTCGTCTCATGTGGAAAATCTGAAATGTGATCAGCGGTTGATATAGACTAGATTAAATTAAAGGTCTTGTAAAAACATATGAAGCAAACGCGACCTCAACAAGTTTACTATATTCAAAATGGCGTTGTTTTAAACCACCTGATACAGATTTATAATAGTTAAAAATTTACCGCTCTGGGACTTTCCTAACACACCACATTGAAATATATTATAACATAACCTTTAAATTTATTTTCCATCGTATCGTAATTCGCTGTTTCAACGCTTTCCATTAGCTATTTACATGATTTAGAAATGAGTCATGCGCCTTCTTGTAGAATGTAGAACTCCTTCTACAAAAAGCCCTTATCATTGACTATTAATATGCTCTGTGTATTGTTTCTACGTGATAGTCAATACTAATTAGTATCTTAGTTCCTACCATCTTCTTCAGTCCAGCAAGGAAAATAAATGAATATCTATTACTTACAGGGTGCCCCATAAGTAAACGGCCAAACTCCGGGAAATGGTTATATAGATCATAACGTGAAAATCAGGAACAACTACTGTTATTGGATTTTTGTAACCGATCTTTATGAAAAAATGTAGCCTGTGTATGTTAAGAGACATTTGATGGTAAAAAATCAATTTGGTCCAAATTTAAATTTACACCAACAAATCTAAATTTATCTAAATTTGGTTTTTGTAGGCAATTTTATTGTTATAGTTTGATTTACAGAAGAATTGCTGACTTCTACCGTCAAAACATCTGCCAAAGATATACTTAAAAGTTCAAAGCGGTGACATTGTTAGATCTTTAAGGTTCCTTTACAGTCTTACACTTTGCGGCTTTTGAAAGAGGAGGGAGTTGAGGAGAAATGATTTACCATGGCAGAATATGAGAAAAGAGGTGTGAAGAAGGTGGGTCGTTTACGGCGCGTTTGTCTACTAAAGAATTCTCTTTCCAAGTCTTAGCTTTGACGTCGAGCGTCTTAATGCTTTTAGAATTAAATACTACGCACTTAATTGAAATTCCTGTTTATTCCTATGAAACTCTATTGAATTCAACAGAGCTAAAGTTAACTTAATTAAGCTAAAACGTGTTTTTGAAGAATCAAGTAAATCAAAATTATTATCAAAAGACTGTTATTTCTAATTATTTTATTAGAATGTTAATAGGCCTATTTCTAATACACCGTTCTCTAAAAACAGTCAATACATAAAAAAAAACACAGTTTTACTTCATTAGTACGTGTTGAAATGATATTGTTTTATATAATAAAGATTAGATAGTTATTACTATTAGTATTAGATTAGATCGGTTAATAACCTGTTTCAGATAGCTTTGACACATACGTATTAAATCACATAGTAAATCACGATTAATATTGTAATTTGTTTTTTAAAGTTATTTTCTACTTTTTTAACCCCATTCTAAATAAAAAAGTAACGTGAAACGATTGAGATGGAATAATTTTGTTATACAACGCAAACAGAAAAAACAATTGCAAAATATAAACAATGGTACAAATAACATACGATTACTACTTTTTTATGGTAATACAGTATGTAAACACGTGCTTTCCGACATTTTTGGCTCACGAATACTACCATTCATTAACATCTCTATTATTTTGTATCATACATGGGTAAAAACCTACTCCTATAAAAACAAGTTTTCTAAAATCGTCGAATGGTTTTGCAATGGGGCGAGTTTCCAAAAGAAAATGTTCTTCTACTCTGGTAGATGCGCTTATTTGGTCTTCTGTTCAGCTATACCTACAGTTCAAGATAGGTTTCGAACCATTGAAAGACACTAATTATTATTTTTGGTAGAGAGATTTAAACACGACTTGAAGGACAAACATCACGTGGTCAACCACTTGACCGTCAAAAGTGAAGCTAGACTACTAACAATTAATCATTTCCTTGACTAATTTCAAATCGATTTGCTGGCGAAATCAAAAAGTTAAAATGACTAGAGCAGACAACATAAATTTACGTCATTTACTCATCGCCTTTTTTTGTTTTTCAACAATCCTTAAACTATTTACCAATTTAGCTATCAACTACTGGTAGAATGTAAAATCTAAGTTGATTTGGTTTGTCTAAATCATATCGATTAAGATTTACCCGGGGCTATAAAACTATCATCTTTATACGTAATAAACATTTAGGTCAGACTTATTGATTTCGGCTGAATGTAACCAATACTTATCCAACTCTACGCAGCATTGCAAGGGGTGAGTTTCATATGTCCAGATTACCCGGTGTGGCTTCTTGATCCAATCAGAAGCTGCCCTTCCAGAGAGTCGAATTACTTGCATTGACTTCTTCATCTTATAAGTTATACTTCGGAAATTATTTCAGCAAGATTTACCTTATAATCTAAATTTTCATTGGATAAATCCATAAATCTTTCAACCTGTATTTTGATATATTTCTTGATTTGAACATTACTAGAATCTTCTCTGCGGGATATATTTTTGGAGGCCAATTGGACAAGGGTGATAAATACTTGGAGATTCCGATTAATTCGACTTGATAAAATATTAGAAGATGCGTTTTCAATAGACAAGCTTTTAGAAATAAAACATATTCCCGTTAACCTTTAGCTTTTAACCATTAACCTTTAACCTAAGAAGGTTCTCTGCTTAATTATTTAATTCTATCCAAGCATTTCATTGTTTTGGTAAATTGATTGACACCACGAGAAATTGTCTTAGCAATACGTAAGATACTTGGATTTTTTACCACAATAAATATTAAAATCGATAATAGAATATATACAGGGTGTCCCGGAACTCTCCACCAATATTTTAGGGCATTGCTCCCGGGTAAGAAACATACCTAAATATCATATTTAAATTGTCCGGAAGTCCTTAGTTACTCACACAGCCGCCATTTTGTTTTTTTTCAGTTATTAATTTTTTATAAAGAATGGTTTAACATACGAAATGGAAACTTTGCACAAACATTTATGACAACTAGACAAAGCTACCAAAAAATTTTGAAGATTTTTCTAATTCATAAAACAAAATGGCGGCCGTTTAAATTTTTTGTAAAATCAATGGTTTTCGAGTTATTTAAGAAACAAAATTTTTAAACGGCCGCCATTTTGTTTTATGAATTTGAAAAATCTTCAAAATTTTTGGTAGCTTTGTCTAGTTGTCATTAATGTTTGTGCAAAGTTTCCATTTCGTATGTTTAACCATTCTTTCAAAACAAAATTAATAACTGAAAAAAACAAAATTGCGGCTGTGTGAGTAACTAAGGACTTCCGGACAATTTAAATGTGATATTTAGGTATGTTTCTTACCCAGGAGCAATGCAATAAAATATTGGTAGAGAGGTCCCGGACACCCTTATAATATAATGGAATAAAGATATACAATGGCAATGTATTCCCTTTAAGAATATCATACATTCCACATATTTTATTTAGCACTTCAAATCAATAGTTAATATTCGTGAAGAATGGTTGCAAAACTGTGCAATACAAAACTGTTTGTTTTAGAAGCTGTTTTAATTCGTGACACATTAATTTTCGGATTTACAAGTAAAAGTAATAACAAATAGATAACAAATTAAAAAATACTCAACAAACCCCGTTTAGAATGTTACATTCCAAGAAATATTTAAATGTGAGCTTGTGTGTTAAATTTATACGAGGATAATATCCTAGACAATTGATCCAATATTGAATAGTCTAAGAATACAAATATTTAGTATTTAGCGAAACTCCCGGATGATCAACCACTAGAATGGAAACGTTTAAACACAAAAGCTACTCAAATATGCTTTTACTTATGTTTTAATGAAGTTTCATAAACAGTGTGTTCCTACATTTTAACAAAAAAATTTCAAATTATATTTAGTCGGTAATAATGAAAACGGCGAGAGTCTAAATTATCACAAAACCAATTACGCAACTTAACTCAAAATAACAATTAGTTAGCAGAGTTTACGAAACGAGTGAATTAAAACACTTTAAACGCAAACAAACGATCGTTTTGTCCTAACCGAGACTCGTAATATGTAGCATATTGTTTGGCTGTTCAAAGTGGGAGGTTCATTAGAAGCCATTAGTGGTGAAGTGTTCAGAGGTGTTCAGAGATACGCTGCACATGGTTACAGCTAAAACATATTGTTACTTCCTATTCTATTTCATGTAAAACCCCGTTATCGTTGAATAAAACTACTGTAAAATAGAAAACTGAGCTTTGTAGTTATTCCATTGTTATTCGTTAATAGTATATCGAGTAAATAGAGGTGGTATAGTCTTTTAATGCTCTCTATGCAAGTGGCGTTATCAACTTTTTTGCAAGGGATCGGTCCAAACCCTGATCTTATCCACCGTCGAACAAATATTTAGAAAGCATCATTGGGAGCTTAAAGTTAAAATGACATCTTGGTTTGCTAACGATTCCGCATCGCTTGGTTTAGAACCAGCGACCTTCAGATTTGAAGGTGGACACTAATCACTCGGATACCCAAGCAATTGTTTACCTATTAGTCGGAAATTCATTTTGGCAGATTAAAAGGTTGGTGAATTCTTAATCTTATTCGTATTATATTGAAATTATAGTACATCTTACTTTAACTGTAATTTCAACCACAGCACTCCTCGGCTAAAATCAAACAATGCTAAAACTATTTAAGTAACAGTACAAACAGTATTTTACCATGTCTATACACCAAATAAACAGTTAACTTACCGGTAAATTGGGTGCTGCATTAGAACCATGTTGTTTTCATCCATCCAAGGTTTTTTCTATAACAGAGGAAATAATTTTACAAATTATTGTAGTATTATATTATTTACATATTCTTGTATTGGGTAGCTTTAGTTAAGTTATAAGAGGATGAACAAATGTTTTATGACTTTTGGAAAAGCACTTTAAAGAAAGGGTTGAAACAAAATGTAGACCTCACAAAACCCCATCAAGGTGTAAAACAGTTTTTCAGATACGTCAAATGAGCTTGGAACGAAAAATATTCATCTACAGTTATATAAAATAGGGGATAACTTAAAACCGACAATAGCCGGAGCAGTTTGATAACTTGTTGATCCGTTAGTATTCAAACAGATGGAGTGATTTACATATTTAAGCAGTTGTTTTAAAACCTTGTTTCGCGCACTTTAGAATACTAAGTTGTCTGGTATATACTAAGTCAATGAATATGGCCGTAAAAAGTTGACAATGTCAATTATACATTCAACCTATATAATTCTAAACCAAAATAAAATAAATATCTTCTGTTAATTATTATGTATGTAAATATCTTATTTAACAAAAGCACTGTAGTTTTTAAAACTAAGACAATTTTTACAATATAATCTGAAAACTCCTTTCAATATAACATGGATGAAAACCCTGATTAAAGTTCTTTTTGCCCTGCTATCAAAATTTCAAAAGTCTTCATAAGTAAACAATTTAACCAATAATGCTTCAATCATGCTTTATTAAGGCGGAAACGTAATGACAAAGCTATAAAAATAAACTAAGCAGTTAAATATGGAAAATTATTTTACGCCACACTACATTATTTTGACGAACTTCCCACGCAAGGATTTAGTCCAGAAAACAGCTGTTTGCCGCCAGCTTATTCAAATGGGGTTTCATTGCGTACTACTGTGCTGCAATGAGTTTTGCCGGACACCAATCAGCTGATTATACTGTATTTAGGTGGCAGTGAGTGGTTATAAACAAAAACATAACCTCTCATGACTAGTGATTTTTAGTCCTTTAGTTGGTGGAAATATATAAGGATTTGTGCGGATTTAGTAGTATGGCGTAAACTATCGTACGTAACTCGTCCAAAATGTGTGTACCGGACTCGTATGGTAATCCCGTACTCGACTTCGTCTCGCACGGGAACGACCACACTCGTCCGGTAAACACTTATTTTCAGGACTAGTAACGTAATATACTATTAAACAACACATTTACATCATAAAACAGCCGATTAAAACGTAAGACAGCAATTCAGCTGCTTATGATATAAAACAATCTTTATCAAAGTTACAAAGAAGCGGAGAGCACTTTGATAAAGGAACTGGGACGAAATGGGGTTACTAAGAGACAAATGAGACAAATAACTCTTGAAGTGGAACGTTTCCGAAACGGCACACGGAAGATTTCTCAGGTGCCGTTTGACGTCACTAACTGCTGACGTCACTTTGAAGGAACACCAATACCGCAACGATACAGTTTCAGCCATCGGCCTCGGTGGTGCAGTGGATAGCGTTGCGGGCTGATAATCCGAATAATTCGGGTTCAAATCCTGCCGGCGGCACTAACTTTTTATCAACAATTTTTTCATATCAGCAAGTTAGGTTGGTTTGGTTAGGTTATGACAGTTTAATTTTATAATTAAAAGATTATAAAATTGAATTTTAGACAATTATAATTTTATTTTATGAACAAAACTATTTTTTAGATTAGTAAACCCTTATTCGATTTTTCCATTATCAGCACGTTTGGTTAGTTTGGTTAGGTTATGACAGTTTAATTTAATAATAGGTCAACAGTTAGTGACGTCAAACGGCACCTTAGAAATCTTCCGTGTGCCCCACCGGAACGTTTCTACCCTCGAGACTATAAGTTGCGAAGCTGTATTTATTGTGCTTATTGTAACAGCGCTATTACGCTGGACAAGAATAGACTGTATATCTTTTTACTTAAAGAATTGACTGTTATGGAGTAAAAGTTTCTTGTAATTTATTTTGTGATTGTAGAACAAAGCTGTTAGTTTGTTTATAAATATTAAGTATTATTATTATTATTTGTTGTGGTAACTTAAGCGTTTATAATTCACCTGCGTTGGTAAAATAAGATATCGTTGCAATAAATTAGCATACACTTGCATCACATGGAGCCAAAGTTGCACTAGCAGTTAAATACGAATTACACAACCTTCCGAAAAAGTGATTTTAAGCTTAACATGACCTGTTAGTTTTAATAAAATGGATCCATACGATAAAACATCCTCTGACTGTACAACAATGTTAAACAGAATAGGGCTAATTTAACAAAAGCTAAGGAAAATAAATATTGCGAGCAAATTATTTATGTTTAGAGATTTACTTAGTAATTAAAAAAATTAAATTACCTTTTTCTTTTTCCTGAGGGTGACTCGCACTCCATCCACTGACACTTCCACCGTCACTTTCTTCTTTTTGATGCCTTTCGCCTTGAACTCGTACTGGAAAAAAAATTACATTTTCAGCGAAAACGTTATTTCATGTGTTGAGTAAATTGGTTTTGAGCCCAAGACAGCTCAACACATGGTCCATGTCATGTTGAATATTTTATATATATATATATAAATAATAACAAAAACTTTAAATATTTTTAGTTTTTTAATAAATTTTTTTCAACGTTTAGGATGAATATTTTTTTGTATACAGCAACACCAAAGATCAATTCCTCGAAGTAATCAATTTGAAAAAGAACTAACACGAATGATGATACAAACAACAATTGAGTTGTTATTTATTTATTTATTTTATTTAGTTATAATAGGTACTTTCCTGTTAAAGGGAACATTCATTATTATCGATGATTTCTTTTCGATATATCGATATTTTATAATAAACTAATTTAAAAAAGCCCTTTTTATAAGAAAATTTTTATTCTTTTAAAGAATTTGTAGAAGTTATTAGTAAAACTCGATGCGATTTATAAAAGATTTAGTAATGTATTTATGCAACCATTCTTGTTCATGGAATTATTGACTTGTGATTTCAACACTAGAAGCAAATGCGACATGAAAATCTCACAGCTTGGCTAAAACAGATAGCCTCCTTAGTGTCAATGAATCAGACCATTTAAACAGCTGCCTTATGCTTTCGTTAGAACATTTTCAATCCCTGAGATGTGGTTTGCCATGGCTAATTCTTTTAAAGAATTCCCTGATTCCTCTTCTAGTGGTAACCAATCACAAGTACATTACTTGAATATTAGATTATTATAATGGAAAACCAATTTGCTACAATATCTACCATAGGTAAAACGATTCTTCGCTCTCGACACTGGTTAAAAAGTAATAAAAATCTAACTCTTCTCATTGTTTCTTACTCATGACTTAATAGTCTTCATTTCATATTCTTCTGTGAAATGGTCCAATTGGATTATAATTTGAAAAAGCCGCAAAGTGAAAATAATTAGTACCTTTAAAAGGTTAACCCGATTTCACGAATTTTCTCTATAATTTCTCTTGGTAATGGAGCCAACTAATGATTAAGAACTTTAAAAGCTCTTTAGTTATAGGGAAAAAATTGAACTTTGGGTGTCAATTAAGTGAATTAGATTGTATTCTTGACACTGCTCAGTGTCAAGAATACAATCTAATTCACTTTTACTTTTGATTTATACCCTTATATAAAAAAATAACAATTAATATTTTTATTGTACAGAGTTTTACTTAATATTACATATTAAATTAGAACCCACCACAGGCAAAAACACACACTGAAGCACGCCTTAACCTATTTCAACCCAAACAGAGGCCTTTAAAAGAGATTTCCCTGTCAAAAGAGATGCATGATGTACCCATATAGCCGCAATGCGCTGTTGTTATATGATGAATTATATACCGTCGTTGGCGCAGAAACACTATTACATTGCTGCTTTATCCAGTAGTTTTGAGCATTAAAAGTACATATTGTGCTAATAGATTAAAATAACAAATTGTTCGCAACTACTGTGAAATTTTCTGTTTTCGTTACATGTTTATCACATGCGAAAATTCACTGCATTATGTACTACGGAAACAGAATGTTTACTATATTTTTGGGATTTGCTGACGTAAACAAATTTGTTATTGTTTTGTCAACTGTTTCCACTTTCAACAACCAAAACTGTACTAAAGTAAATGATAACTTTTAATTGAAGGCATAACCTAAAAAAACTCTAGTTGTTCTAATGTTCCATTTAAACAAAATATCCATTGTCTGTTCTAATTGGAAAATTATTAGTCTTTGTAGTTTAAAGAAAAAGTAACGTTCAAAACACAAGTGAAAGTGGGTCTATACCACTTAAAGTGCTCGATAAATCTCGCACTCACAAAAATATGTAATGGCTCACTTTCTACTCTTGTTATGAAACATACTATACCTTAAAATCACATGTAAAGATAGTAAGGAACTGTGAGATTGATATGACTGGATTGAAAGGTTAACAACGCAAACAGGCTTTTTTACAGGATAATCAGTCTTGCGCTATCTAAACTCAATGGTAGTGCACTTAAAAACACATTCCATTTATAGCGTACAAATGTTTCGTACAAAGTGCAATAGTCTACTGAATCTAATGATGATTGTGTATAAACCGTATTCTGTTTATAATAGGGCACGTTTGATTGGGATAGCATTGGAACAGTGTTTCTCATTACACAAATATTAGTTCCAATACATATTTGAATACGAGTGGTAATCGTTCTGTGGATATCCCTACTCTATTAGAACTGTAATTTTTGATAATAATTATTATTGTTGCGATTTACTCATAAAATTAGTATTTATCAACGAGAGATATTTATGTTATTGTTCAAATTTAATATCTCGTGTTACGATTTACTGTAGAATATTTTGGACGTACAATTACAACTACAAAAGTGTTAACCTAAATTTCAAGAAATATTATAAACGTTGGAGCGGCGAGTAGTGTTTAATCTTCACGGTTTCACGTTTAAGTTTCAACTTAGTTTAGTACTCTATCTATGAATTGAAATCTGAATATGAACCTCAAATAAATAGAACAGACGACGTGAAATACTGTAAAACGTGAGTGAATCAGACAATTCTATGATTCAACTAAATAATCGAGATCTGAGTAATTACTCCTTATTGTTTAGGAAACAAAAACGCCTTTGTTCACAAACGTTCCGAGACGAAAATTGGCCACAACACGCTCACCTTCACACATTCCCTACTATACGAGGGTCGTGAGTGACGTCAAAATATGTTTGATGTCATACTATAGACATGGTGATTCAGACTACCCGTGTACAACGAGTTGGCCCAGCAAGCGTTAAAACGACTTATTTTTTTAACCCGCCATTAAAATATAGTGGGTTACAATTGTAAAATGTCACTTTGGGCACTTTTCTTTTAATGTTGGGTTCGTTTAAAGTACAAATTATTTGTACGAAAAGTAGTTAAACAATTTAGAAAACAAGTCGAAAATCCAAGGTATTTTACGTATTTTGTTATTAGGGTGTTTTTTTTGTTTTTTTTTGTTAAGGAGAGCATCGTGTAGAAATTTAATTCCTGGCCATGAACATTCATTCAGATCTTTGCTATCAGATCCCTAGCTATTCTCGAATAGGGTAAACATTTGTACAACTAATCAGTAAGTCAGTGAGTAACACAAGCAGCTGTATGTATATCCCGTTAAAGTATGTGCACGGGTCTTTTGATTCATCCTGTATACGTTTGTAATATTTCAATGAAAGAATATGTTGATAATTAATTCAATGAATCATAATGTTATACATTTCATGTTTAGGGTTTACGTATCTATGTTTGCACGTTTTCTTATTATTTTGTCTGCCTGATATTTTAGGAGGCTATTCGTATGCCTAACCTTCACGAGATTTTACACGTTGCTAAAAGCCATAGGCAATTTGCACATTTTTGAACCCACGACCTCAGGGGCCGAAGCCTCGTGTTTTAATAAACTAGCCCCCCCCTCACGGGAACATTATGAATAGTTAATTAACACAATTAATTGTTTGAGGGCGTTAATTTAACTGGTAAAACAACAACAATAGTGTAATCATGGCTAACATAGATGTAAAACTAAGTTAAAGCATTGATAAATAGTCTATGGCTAAATCCACACTAGGAGTAGAAATACAAACTATTGGTATTGACACATACGTGAAGTTACTTTGAACAGCGTAGCGAATCAAATGCATCACATACCAATTAATGTCCTAATATATAGATTGGTTAGTTTTATGTTCCGTTATTTTGGATTTATATTGTTACAGATTTTGTGGATATTACTAAATAGGTGTAAAAAAGTTTCTTTGGAGTTTTCAAAGTTCTTATAAATAAGCTTATAACTTTGTGTCTGTGCGATAAGAAAAACATTTTTGTCAACTATGTTTTACAGTACAAAAACATAATAAACAGTTGATAATGCAAAATCTTGGATCATCAAATTTCATATATAAAAACAATAATATATTTATCTTTCCAAAATGGATCATCGGTTGAAAATAGAGAGATAAAATAAACTAATAGAACGATTCGACAGATGAGCGATTTCATTGGTCAGTTCGATAAACCGATCACTCTAGTCGAGGTTCGTAAAGAGCTGGTGGAAGATGTTATTGGAATGTTTTCATCAAAGGAAAGACATTTTTCTGCGTTTTCAACAAACAAGACACATATCACTTGCTTCAATCATTTGTCAAATGTACAAAGTAATATACTCGCATCAATATCAATTATTTATGATGGGTCCGCCACTAGGTGCGTATTTTAACCCAAATATGAGTGAAGAATGAGTGGTGCGATCTTGTAGTTTTGTTAGTGACTAAGGCCAACATGTTCCAGACACGGCTGTTAATTATTAGCCCATACAGCTTAATGGCAACGAAGGGACCTACAGTTTATAGTGGAATCCGAACGACATTTTTGCCTTGTAATTAACGAATTGGTGTACGTAAATGGCATTTGTGTTGAAAACTGAATTTTTAGAGTAGCATTAAATTTATCATTGAACATTGAGCATAAAATATACTTATTGAAAAAAAAATGATGAATTCGTTTTGAAAATATTCGTCTATCCATTGTAAATAGACCAACAAGTGACGTAGCCTATGCAATGAAAAAATACAAAATATATAATGAATTGAGATATTTTTACGTTTTACATCTATACAAATTTTGAAAACATATCGACGAATTTATCATACACTTCAAAATGGTTTAAAGTACAAGCATCGCTAACATTACTATATCAAATGTACACCACTCATTATGGACATAGAGCCAAATTGAAGAAGTGAAATCAATTCGAAAGAGAGGAGACTTTAGCATATAAAAATAGAACGCATAATTCAGATAAGTAATACATCAGAACACATCGCCTGCATTAGAAGCTGTCAGCCCAAGTTTCCTCATACTTTTAAAAGGTTATAGTTCAATTTTTCACTGGTTTTCCTGATGTAAAAATGTGTTATATACATTA